TGTAGATCGACAGATCTATTAAAACTTTAAAATTTTAAAAATTGACGGCCCAAAAATGCATTACAAAATATACTATTTCCAAAACTAGAAATCCATTTTTTTCTCATGTCCATGCATCTTGATGCCGAGATGATCAATTTGAAGATATTTGGACCCCAAAACAACCTCTCCTAGTGAAACTTTTGTGATAGGCTCCAATTTGATTGTTTAGAGCCTCGGCTCTATATGAACTTTCCCATATGATAAAAGCCCTTATAAATTGCCCCTATATAGTATATCTTATTGACTACATTGATGGTAATGGGTCGGGTCTGGTTGGACCTAGACTTGAATAGTATTCAGGTCTAGGTTTTGGATCTTGATCCAATCTTTCGGATACAAAATTTGGACCCCTACATGGACCTTAGGTTGGGTCAGCCCGTCAGTTCTCGGGTCTTGTCGGGTCCATTGCCATCCAAATGTTTATGTAAGATATGTGGGCTATCACTATGAGCTTTTTTTTTTATTTTTCCCTTCTTTTCATCATTATCATCAACAACAAGAACAACAACATCATCATCATAATGGTTTTATAATTAATTGAGGTTGGCTACACAAATCATTGTTTGCTGTTCTATTCTATTAAGGGTCATATCCACAGTGAGGCAATAAGTATCTATATCTTTTCTCACTACTTTTAATTATGTTATTTTGAGCCTATCCCGTTCTTTTTTGAGCTTTCGACTTGGATTAACTCGCACCTCCTAACAAGTGATGCATTGGATTTGCACCATATTTGACCAGCCTACCCAAGTCTACTCTCTCTCATCTTATTGCCAATTGGTGCCACACCTAAAATTTTTCGAATCGATTCATTTCGAATTCTATCCCTTCTTCTCATGCCACTCTTCCATTTCAACATCCTCATCTCCGCTAAACTCATTCTATAGCTTCAATTTTTGTAAAATCGAATTGGAACGGTTAACGAGACATGGGCCCGAGAGCAGTTAGAACCGGAACTGGACTAACCGGGCGGTTAACCGGACTGATAGATATTTTTTTTAAATGGGTCGAAAACCCAAAATAAAAAATAAAAAAATCAAAATCTCATGTAACTCTGACATCTACAACTCTGTTCAGAAAAACTGAGACAATGCCCTAATCTGTAGAATTTGAGGCTGGAATTTGGATCTTTTGATGAAAATAGGACTTGAAAAGTCTGAGTAATTATGACATCTACAAAATCCCCAAAATTTGATTGAAAAATGATAAAAAATGGGTCTAAAATCTTGAGTTTGGCGGATTTTTTTAACTAAGTTTAGAAAAACTAAGATGATGCCCTACTTTGTAGAAATCAAGCCTGAAATTTCAATCTTTTGATGAAGCTAGGACTTAAATAATCTTGAGTAACTCTGACATTTACAAAACCTCCGAAATTTGGCTGAAAAAGTATAAAAAAAGCTCAAAATCTCGAGTTAGGCAGATTTTTATCAACTCAGTTTAGAAAATTGAGATGACGCCCTAATCTGTAGAATTTGATACCGAAATTTCAATTCTTTAATGAAATTAGGATTTGAATAACCTACTCTAACATCTACAATATACCCAAAAATTTATTGATAAAATACTAAAAACAAGCCCAAAATCTCAACTTCGGCGAATTTTTGAGAAACCGTGAAGAAAACCGAAAATGGCTTCAAAACTTTCGAATTCCGGTGTGTTTCTGGTCGGAAATCCCTCTTGTTATAATGTGAAATAAAATATTTCAATAAATAATTGACTGAAAAAACCTGACAAATTCTAAAAAAAGTGAAAAAAATCAAATCAAAACAAAAGTCATAGGTTTCTGCTAAGAAAAATGGTCTACTGCTACAAATAATAGGATTTGTTACGTAACGGCTGTTATATTACGTTATAACGTGTTTTAAAGAAAACCGGTCCTGTTAGGATAAAAATCGAGTGGTTTTCGACTGATTTTTGTCCGGAAGTTTTTTAAACCGGTGATAATCGAAACCGAGAGGGTCCCGGTTCAGACTTAACTAGTCGGTTCCGATTTGACCCGACCGACTTTTCAAACAGTGATTGACATTTATAAATACCGGCACATACACCCATGTTCCTTACTATTTTATGTAATCAAGGGTACACCGTTGGGTCTGGTCAGGTCCATTGCACCCCTAACTCTAAAGCAAGCAACAAAGCACCCTTTATCCACCTTGTACTAACGCTGTAATGACACGACAATGATAGATTACAAAAATGGTAGAATTTGAAGTTTAAAATTGCGCACTTCCCTTCCTCGCTCCTCTTTATCAACCTTCTGTGAGTAATGGCACCACAAAATGGGGAGTTCCAGGAAATGACGAAAACACCCTCGAATTGAAAACTCTCTCCTCTTTGTCTGAGTTTTGCCAGCCACGTTTCATGATTCATGCAAATGCGGCATCCGTAACAGTCGGAATATCCTTGGAAACATGGCCACTTTCCATCCTTGTTTTTTTAAGAAAGAGAGAGAAAGTGCTTCTTCCCTTTCCCCCATTTCCTAGAGAGAGAGAGAGCTTTTCATTGATCTTGAGAGAGAGAGAGAAGAGTGGGGGGCGAGAAAGTGGAGGTGGGGGGGATGGATTGACCTACGGTTATCCAAACAAACATTGCACGCTTTGCAAACTCACCATCATTCAAAGGATTTGGATTCGTTTTTCTTCTCAATCCTGACCCCTTTCTCCTCCCCTTCTCTCTCTCTCTCTCTCTGTAAGACCCATGCATGCAATCCCTTATTCCTCTCTTCTTTAAGAGGCAAGGTTTAAGGGTGGAGCCTTTCCATTTTAGAAGCAAGGTATATAGCCATGTAAATAAATCCTTTTTCCATTAAAATTTCTTCTTGGGTTCTTCAAGAAATGAGATTCTGAGAATTGGGTGTTGCAGTAACTTGGGATTTCCTTTTAGTTTTCATTGAATTTTCTTATTGGGCCGTTCGAGAAATGGGTTTCTAGAGTGGGCGCACTGGAGAAAGAAGAAGAGTGAGAAGAGGGTATTCCGAGTTCGTTTTGAAAATGGTTTCGGGTACACTAAGGTTCGTGGTTAGGCAGAGGCATAACCAGGGTGATTCTGGTTATGCTTCAAGTAGTGATGACTTAGAGGAAAATTCACCATTATCATTGAATGATCCAGAGCCCAAGCTTGACAGGTCTCGCCCATGGATTCATTTTATGGAGAATTTCTTGTGGTTGGCCTCTGCAGCATTCATCCTCTACTATGGTGACCGTCGCTCCAATTTCATATATCTTGTATGCCATGACGAGCGGATCAAGAGGTACATTGATTTGTTCTCTCTCCTCAACTGTTTCTTTCTTTATTCTTTCACTTGGTAATTAGTGTTTTCATTCCTGAAACTGTTTTTTTTCCATTCCTTTGCTGGGTAACTAGTCTTTTCATTCTTGGTATTGGTTTTTCAATCTTATTTGTGGTTCTTTTCCTTTAATTGGGTGGCATCCTTTTTGGGTTGTTATGTTTCTTTAGTCATGCATAATTGGAAATTGAGATCGTGTTTCTGGCCTCTTCTTGTGCATTAGTCCTCTGGGACTCTCTGGCTAATTGGCATTGAGGGCGGTTATTCTTTTACTGGTTTTTTGCCTTGTTCTGTCTATGTTATGTTTATTTTTGTTTGCGATTCTGGTTTGTATACTGTGGGGTGTTAGAGGGTCGTACTCTTTCTTGGAATTGTTGGGTTGCTTTGGTCACATATGATTGCAAAATATTCATTCGTGGTGTCTAATAAACTGCATTTTCATTATAGAGATTAGTTTTCTTTTTCCTTGTTTTAGTGACTCCTTATTTTTGAAATTTGGATAGTCTGTGAGGTGTTAGAGCGTAGCATTCTGTTTTAGGTTATTGGGTTATTTTCGGCAATACATAATTGAAGATTTTAAACTTTTTCACTGTGCTATTGCTATGCCTTCATGCCCTGGGTAATGGCTATGTTCGTTCCTGGTTTTATTTTATTTTGTTTCTTTAAATTTAGCTGTTATTTATTAATTTTCGTAAAGACCATATGCTCTGGGAGGTGTTAGAGAGTAGCATTCTGTTTTAGGTTATTGGGTTATTTTCGGCAATTCATGATTGAAGATTTTAAACTTTTTCACTGTGCTATTGCTATGCCTTCATGCACTGGGTACTGGCTATGTTCGTTCTTGGTTTTATTTTATTTTGTTTCTTTAAATTTAGCTGTTATTTATTAATTTTCGTGAAGACCATATGCTCTGGGACATCACAGCATTTCCTTCTTTTGGCATTTAGTTATGAATGGCTGACAATTATGAAACTGTCTCACCGGATTGGTGCTTTGAATTTGTGCTTGACATTGTTTTCATATGTGGGGGTGTCGTCATCACACATTTAATATTATAAAAAAACTATATGTTTTTATCTGATAATTTGGATCATTGATAAGGGAAATGATTCACTATAGCTGTGGTGATTTCTTTTGCATTATGTTAGCAAGCTGTAATCATATTTATGCCTTGATGCCAATGAAATGCGATGGGAGTGTTTTTTTCTTCTACAATCCAGATCATATAATTTTAGGGTTTTCATCTTTAATGAAATTTTAGCACTTCTATTTCCTAGTGACATGAACAGAACCTGACGCAAATGTCAAATTTTATGATTATTTATGGTACCAAAGATGTATTGCTTGTCTCATGCATCTAGGATACATATTGGCAGATAATATATTGAAACTTAATCATAGTAAAAGCCTCAGTTTTGGCATGACTGATTTAATACTAGTAGACATTGTTTTTACCAAGTATACCATTTCGTAAAATTGGATGATCACTTTTGGCATACCCAAGAAAGTGTCATATTCCGACTTCTCCTATATGCTGTGGTGATATTCTGCATAATCTACTTGAAGAATATGCCAATACTCACGGTCACAGATCATATACACTATAACACAACTCTATGTGTGTGTGTGTGTGTATACTGCTTGGTGATATGTGCATCCTCCGTGCTTCATATTTCGTGAAATGCTAAGTTGTATGAATTGTACCAACTTCCATCGGTATGTATCTTTGTTCGAAGAGCATTGTCTTTTTCGTTGCTCTGCATTTGCTTTTTTGAAACAAAGATTTATGTTTTGAAACAAAGTTTTATATTTTGAAAGACTCAATCTAGTTCCGAGCAGAGTTGACTGACCCTGTTCTTAGTCAATGAGTTATGAATAAGAATAACACGCATTTTAAAATTTTTAGAAATAGTTTAAGGACATTTAGACTTGGCTAATTATTATGTTTTGTACCTTGGCTTTTGGTCACATGAAGTTAACTCAGTTATGAATGAAGTTTTAGTGGGTTCACCATGTTCTTGGTCAGCTTCATGAATCATAAAAAAACAAAATTTAAAATTTTAAAGAAACCTAGAAGTGCTCAATTATTATGTTTTGTACCTCACCTAGCGGTCAGAGAGTCGACTCGCTTATGACTGTGTTTCTACTATCTTGCATACGGGTCATGTTCATTTCATGGCAGTTACTTTGCTTGGGTATCTATCTGATGGGCAGTACACACACATATGCACACACACGCATACATATATTATGCATGTATGTATGTGTATATTATAAGCGTTCTGTGAATATTATAAGCGTTCTGTGTATATTATAAGCGTTCTGTGAATGTTAAGCATATCTAGTGTGTGTGTATGCATGTATATATATTATGTATCTATGTTTGTATCTAT